AACTAAATATATAATGTGAAATTTTCGTTTTAAAATATTTTATTAGATATTCTATATGAAATAAAAGTTTATACATCAAAAATTTCTGGTGCTGGAACAGATGCTAATGTTTATATACAAATTTATGGTCTTAAAAAATCAACTGATCAAATTATGTTATGTAATAAAACAGAACGACAAGGAAAATTTCAAATGGGTTCTATTGATACATTTCTACATGAACTTGAAGATGTTGGAGATAATATTGAAAAAATTCGTATTGGACATGATAATCGTGGTTTCGGTAAAAGAAAATACACATATGAAATATAAATTTATATATTTTTTTGATAAAATAGATGTAACATGGCATTTAGATCGTGTTGAAATACGTCGATTAATTAAAAATCAAGAATCAAAAATATATATATTTCGATGTAATCGTTGGTTTGCTAAAGATAAAGATGATGGATTTATTGTACGTGATCTTATTCCAGGAAATTTTATTGAAGAAAAACCTACAAAAAAATATATAGTAGATGTTTATACAGGTGATAAACTTGGTTCTGGTACAGATGCAAATGTTTTTCTAACAATGTATGGATATAAAGATGATACAAATGAACAGGAATTAAAATATTCTCAAACAAATACAGATAAATTTGAAAGAAAACAAATCGATAGATTTTTAATTGAAAGTCCGGATTTAGGATATATTTATAAAATTAAAATTCGACAAGATCAAAGGGGTTTATTAGATAGTTGGTTTTTAGACAAAGTTGAAATTAAAGATGGACAACAAACATTTGTATTTAATTGTGATCAATGGTTAGCAAAAGATAAAGGTTATTCAACACTTGAACGAATACTTTATGAAAAAGTAAATTTATTAAATGTATCTTTTGTTACTTCACTACTATAAACAAAATTTTTTTAAATTTTTTCAAAGAATTGTCGAAGTTCAATAAGTGATATATGGCCAGTATCTCATTCAACTGACACACATACTCCTTATAATATTCAAATACAAATTGACGAAGCACCTGATGCTGGTACATCACCAAATGTATCTATTCATTTATTTGTGTAGCCATCGAGTTTCGAATTTAGTTGAGATCGAAATTGAATTTTTGTTTTTGTTTCTTTATTGATTTGTATACAGAACTACATCAAGTTTTGTTTTCCTTTTTATGTGAGTTATGTTTATTTCTTTTTTTAAATTGAAAACCGTATCAGTTTGGCATACGATCAAAGACAAATATTTATCAATAGTTTTTTTGCAGCTTTGTTTACTACTAATTTTTTTATTATTCACAATTTACAATAATAAATAGATATTGCTGAATGCTAGAATATGAATGTATGACATTTCTTGGGACACCGGGACATACAGCAATCGGTTGAAACGAATCTTAGAATTGCTGAGTCATTATATTATTATAATATCAATTTTTTGAAAAGCTCGGGACACCGGGACATAGAGCGATTGGTTGAAACGAATTTTAGAATGGTTGAATCATTATATTATTATAGTGTTAAGCTTTTGAAAAGCTTTGGACGTGAGGACACAGAACAGATATCTAGAAATAAACTTGAAACAACTTAGTCATTTGCAATTTATGTTTTTTTTTGTGTTTTCATGGCCTCGAACAATGCCACAGAAGAAAAGACGCTATTTTATATTTTTGTTAATGGTTTAGTGCTGATAAAATATGATGAACTGTTTCTTTTAACAATGTATTTTTATATGATGTGGTGATATTATAGCTATCTCTAAAATTCTATGTGATTGGTTGCATTGAACATAAATAGTCAAACACTTCATATGGAAAACATATTATTTATGAAACCGATATCGTGTATGATGTATTTGACGAATGGTTGTAATATGGATTTGATAGATATTGTTCAATATCATCAAAAAATTGGAATTGCCAGTGCTTTAGGCTTCAGTGGTTATCTTGTTTCATCGGTAAAAATAGTTTAATTTATATTATTTTATGTTTCTTTATAAGAATATATCAAACATTCATTTTTTTGCCCATCGGTGATTCTCTTATTGCTGTATTGTAAAAAAAAACTTTTCTGGCTTTATTATGGTTTTATCGTAATATTTATTTAATCTTTTCTATCTGTAACAGTGGTGTGAAAAACTTAATTATGATTAATTGTATATCTTTAGACGCGTGATAACTATATTCAATATTTAAAAGTATTCTGTATTATAAATTTAATAGTATTTCCAATAATGATGTGCATATTACTACCGACAAAACTGTTTTTGTTTGTTGAATATTAATTTTTGAAATATCATCAGTGAATATTCGAGAACAAATGTTATATACTCTTTTCAGGTGTATAGTAACAATTATGATAATAGACACACTTTGATTTATTAATGAATTACAAAATAAAAAAATGATGTGTTTATGACAGATTACTATCAAATTTTCGAGAAAAAGCAAAATTATAATTCATTGAAATCTTCTAAATCGGTGATAATTTGATTGTTCGTCAAAAACAATTCTCAAAAATCAAGTGAATTTTCCATTAAATTCGTGTAGATTTCATTAAAATCACATTAAATCGGAAATGGACGAATTTAATTAAAATTATAATTGATTCTTGAACGTAGTTCTTAATCGAAAATCAACTTATCATGCATTTAGAAGATTTCGAATGATTATAATTTTTATTTTGTTCTTCGAAAGTTCGATTATTATCTACCATAATCTGACATTTTTTCGAAGTATATATGAAGAATACGATAGATCGAAATGAGTATTAATTAAATCTGCCAAAATGGCAATGTAAATTTTCTACTATTTTCATTTAGAATTAGTCATAGAAACGTTTGTTTCAATACAAGAAACTTGTAGCATTCGTAATCCTTTGATTTTGAAATAATAAAATACTATTTGTTTTATTTAAATAAAACCTAGAAGAATCGATAAGATTATAATAAAAGTATAATTCTATATCTATTCAATAGACATAGCTATAATTTGTAATATAGCTCCAACATTGATTTACTATTGTTGTGCAAAATAGTGCTGTATATAAAAGAAAATCAATATATCATCATACTACTAAATAATAGATATTTTATTTATTATGAATTTTAACTGAACATATATGTTTTAACAAATTTAAAAAAAAAACAAAAATTTTGTATTGTATTGTTCATGAAAATTGTGTAACGATTTACAATAATACATTTCTATATATATTATGTATTCTTTTTATTGCTTTTTATCGTTGTATTGTATTTTCATCGTACCAGTCGCAGATTTTTGTCGCTTATTACCTTTCATACTTCTAGATAGAATTATTTTGTTTTTCTTCATATTTGAAGATGTTGGTTCTGAATTCGAATTATTAAAATAAATAATTACATTTAATATTTGTAATGAATCTACTAATACTATTAATTAAGTTAAAAAAAAACTGTTTTCGCTTAGTTTAAAAGCTTGTTCACCTTCTAATTCGATTATTAATTGGACATGTAAAGAGGATTTTAAATTTTTTATTTTTTAATTAATCTTATATTTTTTTGAAGCAAATTTTCCTAAAATATATGGCCAATATAGGTGTGATTTCACTTTTACATTATATTTCTATATATCAGATTGATCAGAAGCTACAAATTTAATACATGAATACCGATTTCAAATTAATATGAACGACTCCTAGAAAAACTTATTATTAATTTCGTTAAAACTATATAACCTGCTATCTATTCTTATAAAACAGTTTATCGTTAAAATTATGATTTTTTAATTAATTTATCTTTGTCTTTTTCGCATTGATTTCTATTATTGAATCTTGTAATTATATTGTAAAAATGAAATTTTTATTTTTTACTGTATTAATGCTTCAGGCTAAATGCTTTTTCATAAAGCGGAATTCTCTTGTTTGTGCATCATAGATTATAACTGTAACAATACAAATCATATATAAAGTTTAGAAGAAATTAAGTTTTTATTAAAGTAACATTTCGATAGTTTACTAATAAATTGTACATAGAACTTATATACAAATAGACTTTAAACACTACATATTTATTAGTCATGTTTGCATAGTAATGAGCTACGTTCGTTAGTTTTTTTTTCTTCAACTCTTATCATTTAGAAATTTAAATGAGACTGTTTAGGTAGCATTACTTTTTAAAACGTACATAATTTTAGAGTTTTTTTCTCTCTAGACTGATTATTTCATTTCTATTTCAGACTTTAAATTCATTTATTATTTGCACAGCGAACGTTGTATAATTTCTTTTAATTTAAAAGCTTTTCTCGTGAATAGAATATGTAAATAATCTTTTCGATTATGAAGTTTGAATATTATAGTTATTTCTGTATTATACAAACAATAAAAACTCTTTAAACTCTTATTGACTTTTGTTGTTTTTTTATTTATATTATATCTTTCTAGTTAAGAAGAAGAACTTTTACAAAACATGTTAGAATTCAACATAAATATTATGAAACTTAAACAACAAAGTAAAATGTGCTTTCATTCATCATTTTTATAAATGAAAATGTGCCATAATCTATTTTTAGAGAAACATTTTAAAAATATTTACCATCAATATTCTTACAAGCTAAATTGCTTGTTGTAGTATTATCCATATTTATTATTTGTGATGATTCGATAGGATTTGTCATTGAATTGCATTCATTTTCATTATATGTTACATCATTGTGTTCTGTTTGACTATTAAATACGTTTTGATTATTACTGTTACCCATAATAGATAATGACGACACATCAGTAAGTGCCATTGGTGCTTGTTTAATACTATTCAAATTAGAATCAGACGTGTTTTGTACATTTATCAAATTGCTATTCAATTCTAATAAGTGTAATACGACAAATGAATGCAATTTCATATTCTAATCTATTTAATAAAAAAAACTTACCTGCAGCTACTGAAATGCCAATATTCGTATTATTGCTTTCTTTACATCTATTTTCTAAAAAAATGAAATTCATATGCATAGATACTTAGCTTATATCAATCTACCATATAGTATGTTAACACTATCATTTTCCATAAATGTTGATAAAGTTGTTGTTGCATTTGAAGGTGATATACAACTTGATGGCATTGTTACAGAATATTCTTCGCATATACTGTTTATATCGGTTATCTTATTCGAACTATTTTTATTTATTTCAATTTGATTTGGTTTAACATGATCTAAAATATTAAATATATTTTAGTATTAATAATATCAATGCAATAAAATTTCTAAGACACGATGGTACTTATATCTAGTGTTGTATCAATAATCGCATTATATGTACTATTAGACATCTCATTCAAATTTGAGTCAGTTTGTGATTCTCGACTTGATTTGTTTCGATCGGTACAAGTTTCATTAGCAGTACGATCAGATGTATTTTCTTGAACAACGGCAGGTGTTTTTTCTTAAAAAAATTGACAGTTATTATTAAAAAAAGCCTTGTATAAATACGATGTGTTTCACGAGTTTGCAATGAATCCATTTGGCTTTCACCATTTAAAAAAACATCATTTGTAATATTTTCATTGTTAATATTATTCGAAGCAACCATAGATACTATAACAGGAAAAAGAAATAATTAGTAATTAATAGTTGTAAGAAACAAAACTCAACAAAATTGTGAATATTAATAAAACTCTGTCATAGTTGAAGTATCTGCTGAAACGTGAAAATATTATTGTTGCACTTTTCAGTATTGTAGAAATCTACGTAAGGCCGAAATGTATATAGCTTCTCTTTTTCTCTCAAACTTGCATTTCTAAGCTATACCATATAATTGGCCCTTCTGTTTTCTTCTCATTTTACAACATTACATACTAAGAACAATGTCATTTTCAATGGGCAATAGAAAATTTTTAAAAATAGAACCATTCTTTACGGGCATGAAAATCTCGCATTTAAACACTTTGAAAAGGAAAGCAAGTGTTTTCTATAGATGCAAACAAGAAATTATTAGTGATTATCAGAATATCACGAATATTCGAAACTCTTTCCTTAAATACTTTTGAGCGTCAAAATACAAAGAGAGTGCAACTATTGAGATAATTAAAATTGTACAAATGTATTCTGCGATTCCTACATTATGAATTTTTCACAAAAAATGAATCATCTCTTTCTGATCTTTTCTCTTCTGTGTCGACAATATATATATAAATCAGAATCTAACTTAAAATAACTATTTGTTTTCTTTTTGAATTCATAGTTTTGATAATAGCAATTAAGAAAAGTCCATACGCTTAGTAAATCATAATCATTAACATAAAAGCGATCACTTGAAATGACTCACTATCGTGAGTTGAATTACAAATGCAACATCAAACAGGAAAAGTGTCTACGTCTGTTTTTAAATAAAAAGACAAACTCTTTAATATCTGTTATGTTTCAATTTTCTTTCAAAAAAAATTAAGCAAACTAACATAAGCCAAATATTTTCTTTTTTTTTCACATATTAGATTGTCGACTTATTTTGCAATGACTAATTTCCTAATGCTAAGATCTTTTACATCTACAGTTCTTTTTTCAAGAATGACGTGATTTAAATCTTCCGTTATATCAAAACTTGAAAAACTAGTTTTGTAAAATTTTATCTATTATAACTTGTAAACATTTAGTATATGTGAAACTTCTATTATGCAAACATTAAGACACTCGGAAGATATATGTTGATCTCAAATTATTGATAAACAATGTTGTTATTATTATAAAATTAGCTACTAATAACTCTAAAGCTACTCGATTAGACGTAATAATATTAGGAATTACTAAATCTATATTTCGGTTCTAAAAATAATATAATTTCGGTGGAATAATAAAACATTTATCGTATAACGAATAGAATGCTTTTTGTTCCTTATTTTAACAAATACTTTATATAAGTCAAACAAATAAATGATTTTGTGATACCACATATGTGCAAATCCTAGACAGTTGCTAAATGGTCCTACTATTCTCTTCTACAAAGTAAAAACAAGCAGTCATAAGTAAAACACTATTAAAAAGATTACTAGACATATGTTGAGTTACGTTTCTTAAAAGAATAGAAGATAACTCGTTACAAACTTAGCTCAAACTAAATATAAGCTTAGAATTAATTATATTACATGTCTCTTTCAGAAAACAACGCATGTCTATAGTCCACAATATATCTATTTTTGCACGATCTACCGTTGCCAAGGAGTAAACTTTTACTTTCTACCGTAAAATCCAATAAATAAAACAATTTCTTTTGATTTGTCATATATAAGAAAATATTTTTCGCTTTATGCTACTGAATATTTCCTATAACTAAATGGCCTTCAGAATGGGGTATAGCGTTCACTATAAATAACCCTGAAATGTCATCTCTATTGTGTAAATTCAAAACATACCATCAAAATTTCTATCAAGATATTTTCTTTTTAAATGTTCATACAATAATTTATGTTCAGGTAGTAACAACATTTGTTTACCATTGGCAGTTAATACTTGTTTATCTTTTATATGACTATTACATAACATTGACATATAGGTGGTCAAGTTTAGTTTCACTTCTCCAAACAATTGATTTATTAGATTATGTTTTATTGGATCATTTAAGACATGTTCAGATGGAAAAGCTTTCATATGAACAATTGCACGCGATGTTGTATTTATATATTCTAAATAATTATATAAACCAACGAAAATTATTTTTGAAAATATAGGCATTAATAACTTTTACAATTTAGAAAAACATATAGCTATCGTGTACATTCTCATACACTTACGTCCTTGTCGTATTAATTCATACTTTACCAATTCATCAATAACTGTATTAACCATATCAGTCGAGAAATGTCGAAGTAATCCCATGGATCCTGTTAAGTCTCGTTTAACAAAAAACAGATGTGGATACTGGAAAATGCGCTGACGTATGTTTATCATTGTTGAATGAACTAAAATTTTCTCACACTAAATAAACACCACATTTAGATCCTACTTACTTGAACTTGAATCAACTTTGTTTTTCTTTACATTCGGAACGATTGGTTCAACATCATATAATGCCAACAACATTTTCAACAAGTGACTGCAAACAAGACGTCCAGCAAGATCACAACTGGATGATTGTATTTCCAGTATACCGTTCGACGATGGATATTTGTTTTCGATAAAACTAGTCACATTCCGAATGAATGTTAAACTTGTATCTTCATAATGAAGTTGATTTTGACTTCGAAGCAATCTATATGTACAGAATATAACAAACAATTTTATCCTTTTTTTCAAAATATATTACTTACTCCAATACTTCAATAGAAATTCTTATAATTTCACAAATAGCAGCTAGTTTGCACAATATTTCTGCTGCTTTACCCAATCTCGATCCATAATTAAGATCATTTGGTTTATCGATTTGTGACAATTCCTGGTATTGACAGACTTTATTGAAAAATTTTTTTGTGCCATTTCGACATAAAATATATTCTCGTTTTCCTATTAATCGTGCTACTATCAATATTTGAGATAAACTTGGAAGATGTTCATAGATTTTATTTGATGTTTCATCTTCATAATCACTATCACTAATATCATTTTCACTACCATTATTCTCATCGTCGCTGTCACTGTAATTGGTTGATTGAGTAATGATGTTACATATATCGATTCTTTTCGGCATGGTATAATGGATGAATCTATTATATAATACTTGTTCATATAAATGAATTCATTCATTACAACAGTCAATAGTACAAAAGTTTATTAATTTCACATATTAAATGTAATCTGTTATTCTTGGCTATTGATATTAAATTAACATTAAATTTAAATTAATATCATATGGACGCATTACATTATCTCCAGCAAATTTAAGATTTTTCTCATAAACTCTGTCTTGTGATACACATGCATCTCTAAGAACAAAATTACTATAACTACAGTGATAATTAGTAGATGCTATTGCTCGACGATAATAAAACCCTAATTTTTGTAAGTAAACAAAATATCAATAAGCAAGGTAATGGCTCATTATTTTACATTTCGGTCATTCCAAATTTCACGAATACCGAAAAGCCTCTTTATATAAACGGCGCACCAAAAGCTATATCACGTTCTACCTTTATTCATAAAAAGTTGTCTTTTCTCTGTCACTCAATTTATTTCTATTTCAAAAAATCTTTTTTTGTTGATTTCTCTCGAAACCAAAAGCCTTTGCAACCACACAATGTTATACCGTATTGTCATTAAAACTAGAATGCTCATTTTTCTTCTTCTAACGTACATTTTTATTTCAAAAAAACAAAAAAAAATTTAATCAACATATCATGTTTTTCTTTTTGACATTCCATAATAATCGACGATGAAATTTTAAAAATCAACTCAATAGAACAAACTAAATTAGAAGATAAGTTATTAATTTATACGATAGACTAATGTTATTGATATTTGTTAGTTTATTAAAATTGAACAAAAAGTTCTTTTATCTTCAATTTTTTCATTGATTTGCATTTCTTATATTTCAACGACACTATATGAATTAAAACGAAATACTAAACCAAACTTGTGAACAATGATCATTTTGTAATTTAAATTGATATAGGAAACATTTTTTGCGATAGACATAACAAAGAAAATTAATATATGTTTTAAATTTTATTAATCCTATAGGACTTTTTTCATCAAGAATTTTGCCTTCTAACGATTTAAAAATATGTTAACTAAAAATAAATCTTGTTTATAAGTGCTCTTTACATATATTGTAAATCGTCTAACACAGATACATAGAACTTACAACTATCATTTGCTCAAACTTCTTCTTTTTTAAATACTTCATTTATTTTCCTAATAGTATCGAAATTTTTCAGAAGATATAATTAATAGTTTCTTATATTAATTTTTTGAAAAACCGATTCTATTTTTTAGCTATAAAATATTTTTCTCTTTTCAATATGAATGATAAAAACAAATATAACTCGACGAAGAACATATCATTTATACGTATACTAATATTTTAGCATAGTATAATGTATTTTTTTACGCCTACATACAAATAACATATACTACTTCAATAAACTATAAGTAAATGAGATTTTCTTTTGATATAATAATCAATCATTACTCTTAGTCGATGTAAAAACTCTAAACACTAATCTTGAGCTCATCTATAGATAAAATAAGAAACGAAACTTATACACAGTTAGAACGTTTGAGAGCATTGAGAAAATGAATATTAACAAATTTTTATGATGCGAAACATTAGATAAACGTAAATTTTTATGAATTCAAATAATTTTTTTTCATCTCATATCTACATAGCATCTCATGTTCTTACCATTACATCTATTTTACATTACTTTATCCTATCTTATAATTTATTTTCTCAATGCAAATCCTTGTTCAATATCATAAACAGTTATAGATGTATAAAAATTTCGAAGTTTGGTTTTGTCTCATCGCGAAAATTATTTCTTAACTAAATCTTATTATCACGTATTGATATATTTTTAGTATTATTTCAAGTCATGATTTATGTAAGTTTACTGGTCGTAACAGAAAATAATGAATATGATTGAAAAATAAAAAAACTGACCGCTCTGACAATCCATTACTTTGATGTCCTTGTGCATAATAGTTGATTAGACGGTGCCACAGTCGACCTGTTGTTGCACCAACAAACGACAAATGAGAACTAATCTCTAAGTGATACGTCATTGGATCGTTGCTAGTCGGTATGCTACCATAGTATTTATAGCCGGATATACGATCACTAGCACTAATTTCGGATGATGGTGAATAGAAGCCCATTTCTAATAGTGGTTTTTCGGCTTGATCAGTAACAATAAAAACGTTCGATTTTGCCAATTTAGCTGACAATGAAGCCGTAGTAAAATCATCCATAATAGCACTTTGATCTTCTGATATACCTAAGGACTTGATGGTATTTATAATACTATTCTTTATTGGTGCAACAATTTTTGTCTTTCCACTGCCTAAAATATTATTTCAAATAAATTTCACTCAACTCAAACAACACATACCAGATGGACCAATTAGTAACAAAAAAATATTTAAATTGCTAGTATGATTTCGTATTCTTACAGTCGACTCACCAGCAAAGTGACCGACCGAAGCAAATAAAGATAATAGCAAACCAGCTGGATCAGTATCGTTTAATAATTTAAAACCATTTAACACTTCGAGTAATAATTTAAATGGATGATCCAGTAGATTTTCAACATTTATTTCGTTGTCACGAGCTTTTGACAAGTTTCGTTGCCATATACTATTGGCAGAAAACTCTTGATTTTTGTTGAGTTTTGACAACATTCTCTTATTGCATCGTATACAATATCATAAGATCAATGATTTTTCTGAAAAGACTTTAACAAGAAATATCTAGCTCAAACATAACATTTTTAGCGCAAAAAACTATTCGATTATTAGAAACTCATTAACATAACTAATAAAGCATTTTTCTTCTTTGATTAATTATTCTATAGAATTATCAAAAACCTAGTTTCCTAAATGTTCTATTGTGAATAATTCAAATCATTATAAACATCTACATTATAACATCTATTTTTGAAAACAATAATGCTTTATTTTAATATTTAGGTTTAAAAAAAATACTCTCTTATATCTTCTCTTATTAATGAAAAAAAGAATATTTTTATTCGATCTTTTTCCAAATCAATATTTTATTATCACAATCAGGATCTTTACAACGAATAGTATATATTTTATTCTTAGTATCTGACAGTATTGCTGTTGTGTTTCGTTGATGATGCGCTCCTTTTTTTTCACAATACCGATATTCTCCTCCAATATTGAAAAATAATATATCACTATAAAATGTACCACGCACACATGATCGAATGTATCCTTGATGAGCTTTATTGTGATTAATTCATCTATTAACAAACGGTGTAAATTGTTCCATTTATTTCTTATTATTATCATCGAGAGTATTCTTTGCTGGTTGTTGAATATTTGAATTATTTTGATATGCATTACTAATACATTTAGTATTGACTAAGTAATATGAATTGAAATGTCTATTAAGATGATTTAATTTAATATGGTTATTTGGATTTATTTCGTATAAACTCGTTTGATTTTCATGATTGCATAAAAATTCATTATTTTTTAAACAAATTATTGGCATATTTAATTCGTCGATATTTGTTACTATCGACTTCTTGAAAAGATCAATGTATGGAACTTTAATATCTTTACTAAATGGAAAAGTAGCAGATTGAATAAGTGGATTCAATTGTCCTTTTTTAACACAATCAAATAATCTAAATTGTTGGTTCTTAGAATAGACATTCGCATCAATAGAAAAAGTTAATTGATTTTTTTTGTTGAATACTAATAAGTGAGTAACCCCCCCCCCCGCATTAAAAGGCCCCGGGGCCTTCTATAATGGCGGAGCACATAAAATTTTTAGGGGGGCCTTCTATTTAGGGGGCCCTTCTATTAGGAATCTATGACATACATTGTCAAAAAGACGTCTAATTTTCCAATAGGTTGCAGTAGAATTTTTAGCATATCTGGCAGCATTGCAAAATTGATATATGTATAATAAGCGACATATTAGTGCACGATACATATAATCACACAAGAAATCACTCACTAGAACTTCAAAGTAATTGCCATAAAAGGCAAAGTAGAATCATAGCCTTAATACAAGGCCCGGGCCTTCTATTAAGGCAATCATTCAGAACTTTTTGGGAGGCCTTCTAATAAGGGGGGCCCTTGTAATATGGGGGGGAGCTTCTATTGCGGGGGGGGGGGGGGGGTTTAATATTTGCACCACTTACATAGTTAGAATATAAGAAACAACTAGTACAGTGTAATCGTAATGTGTTGATATAAGGAGTTATCAATATGGGCAATTCGGCCGTACTAATTTTTTGTGCATCATAATTTATATTAAAATTTGAGCATTTATGTTCAGCAACAGTATATAATAAAAAATGCATTAAAGCTTTTATAAATAATCCTAATGTAGCATTATTTTCGAATAATATACATGGATTTGCATGAATGAAATGATATCTTTTACATAGTAGATCTGAAAATCCAAAAAAGCACTCTATGTATCATTTGATACTTCTATAGTTTTAAGTAATTTTTGTGAAACACTTTGATATACAAAAATTGATGTTCTTATTCTATATTTTTTTCCTACGCAATTCAAGCATTATAAAAGTATTTGATATTTAAGACATAGAAAACATTATAATAAGCTGCCTAATCTTAAAAATACTTTCGATTCTAAATATACAATTAGAAATGTGAATGTGAAATTTCATTTATTGTTATTCATACTATAATTAAATTACATATCTTTAAAATGTTCTGAAATCGTATCTTTTTCTTTCTAAAGCATAAGCAATATTACTTGAACAGATTACTAAAAGAATTTTCCATTTAACATTTAATTAAGATACTAAACGTACAAATATTGTATTTGCTTTATGAAAGATTGAAATTCTTTACCAAATTCATATCAAATTTAATTTTCTTTTGACAATTTTCGTCTTGACGATTCTTAAAAATACAAAAATAAAGACTGCATATTGATTCAATTTGATGATTCGCAACTGATATCTGAATATCACTTCGCTCTATTGAAGATAATCCAGAAGTATAGAATCATAAGAGAAATCGCGGTTTTCTGAGACTAACAATTTCTATTAAATTCTTAAATTATACTAGTATAATTCTATTGCTTTTTAGCACCTTTTCTCTACATTTGTTACATACTTCTCGTAAAGCTCATCCTCAAAAGTTTACAAATTATTTTTTTTTGTCAAATTAAATACTTATTATAGAGCGCACTAGAAAGTTGTCCAAATATCAAGTTTTACTTGAGATGTAGAGTTTTTTTCTTACGATTCAAGTACAAGAAATTGTTGCAGTACAAGATCCATATGAGTACTGTTTTTAGTATGAATATTGTCTTGAAAATTTAATACATCATAAAAAATTTTCAAACAAGAAAATGGACCATTATAATTATTTTCAAGGTGACGATTACTGCTGATATAATATTCGAAATCAATATATACTTTAACTTTCTTGGTTGGAAAGATTAATTCATACAGATAGCATTCAATAACACATGTTTCTTGGTATAATATTATTAACTCATTTATCGTAATATAACAAAATCCTCTATTATTATTGTCGTTTTCAAAAGCTATGCAAGCACAATTATCTTCGAGATGTTGATTGACCAATATATTCATTAAATCAGATATTTTATATACTATCATTTTATTTAAAAATGTACTATTAATTATTTTCGTGATTGGTTTCATAATCAAATGTAACAATATTAAAAGTATAAAGCAAAAATATACTCAACGCGCAAAAAGGGTGTGGGTGGGTGTGGGTATTGCCTTCGGTCACACCAACACCCATTTCCTTTAAATCTTGAGAAGCTAATAATTATTGCCATATTCAAATATTCTCATTGGAAATAAAATTCCGTACTCAAATCACTATTTAAATTCGTCTTAGCATTTAAGGAGCGGACACAAAAGATGTTCAATATGCACATTTTATAGAAGACTTTCCAGTCGTCTTTTATCTCAGTTTTACGAACTACACTGACCATCGACGAAATTCAAAACTTCTAATTGCCATCATGCTTAATATTCTTCGTTAAACTGTAGTAAAAAAAAAGCGAATTAAAAATTCCAATTGAATCAAATAATGATTGATCTTCAAGTCGACAGGTAGCTTTTCATTGAGTAGTCTTAGTTGAATTTATAAGGGACAATCCAAAAGATTTTCTGCAAACCCTTAGAGAAATGCTCCAAGTCTGGTTCTAGTGTCGGTTTTCGAGCCGCTATGGCTGAATGGTTAAGATGTTTGACACATATCCACAAGATACTGTGTTCGAACCTCGGCTCCATCAGTCATAGAATGACCTTGGACAAGTTACTAACGGCTGTTTTGTCTCGGACCACCCATCCGATAACAAACTGACTACGTTGTTGACATACACTAAATGGTCCTTGTGACTAGTATGTTGTTAGTTAGTACGTATGGGGAGCTTAAGAAATTAAGCGAGAAGAACTCTGAGTCAGGCCGGCCTTCTGTCCAGAGCTACATTTAGTAATAGATATAGGAAAATATCGGGCTTCTCGAAACTGTCCTCGGACAGCACCCTATACCGCAAGGTAGCCGAAAGGCGGGGTATTCTTCTTCTTCTTCTTCTTCGGTTTTCAAACTATTATTCTTAATCCTCAATGCACCTACACATTTGATCAAACAAGGATAGAGAAGTCGTTTTTCAGATTGTCTCTTGTGAGGTCGATAAAGATTTCTACTAGCGCATGTAACATTATTTTTTTATCGTCGAATCGAATTTCATACGGTTAATATTTGAGATTTGAAAGCAGAAACTGTCGCGTGAGATTGATTCCGATCTTTTATTTCAATGCTGAGTCAGTTTGAAAACTTTCGCTAGACAACTATTGACAAGCAGACTTCTATTTAATAGATGCTATGAAGATGAACTCAGTTAAATTAGATTTGGTAAAGAAAATTTGGTATTATTTGTTTGTTTAACTTCTTGCTTTTATCACCCTTGTCAACGTGTAAGTGAGTATTCGATGCTCAAAATTTCGACTGCTCGGTTATATTTTTATAATTACAGGGTGTCCCAAAAGTCCGTCGGAAAAGTTAATTCAAATATCTC